GGGGGGGCGGGGGGTGGAAGGAGACCTGATTGTCAAAGCTTGTTGGGAGGAGACCCTGATTGCCAAGGCTTTTGGCGGGGGGAGGAGGGGTGTACTATAATTGCCAAGGCTTTTGGAAGGGGGAATGCTGTGGAACCTGATTGGCTGTCTCCCCAAATCTTGGCCATTTCTGGGATTTGAGGTGGGGTGTGATATACTGATGCCATGGGCTACTGTTGTGCATCTTGAAACTAGGACCTGTGAATGGGAACTCAGATACACGGGCTGTGGGGTGAGGAGTTTTACATCGGAGTTTGGTGATAGGATGAGGTGCCGCAGTCATGAAATACACATGCTAATCTTTCCTTTTGGATTATAATAAGGTACAATTGTGTGTGCATTCTACTGGCTCCCCAATTTCTAAGTGGTTTGTCCATAGACTGGCCGTAATATGGAGCTGAACAAAAAAACACCAAAGAACTGCAGATGCTGGAAATCACAAACAAAAACACAAATTGCTGGAAAAACTCAGCACCTGTGGAGAGAAAGCAGAGTTAACATTTTGGGTCCTGTGAACCCCCTTCAGAAGGGGTTCACTGACCTGTGCCTTTCCACGATCAGTTGTGAGGAAGTAATGTCTGAACAGAAGGCTCAGTGTCAAAAAACACTGTCCTGAATTTCCATTTATTGACGGCATGCTTTCCCTCATCACCAGCCATCCCCTATCACCAAACCCTTTGCACTGGAGAATGAAGAAAAGGTTGTCTAACCTGGAAATGGGATACAGGGGTAAAAACTCAAATTCCACAAGAGGACAATCAGCATTGTGAAAACTTGGAGAAACATGATCTTCTTTTGTGTCCAGAGGTTGTGGAATCAGTTTACAATTTTAGCTAGAGCACCTGAATGAGACTGAAACATAGATATTTGCAACCTGGTCTGCAGTGGCAGAGGCTCTCGTATTTTGCTGTTCTGTTGTGAATTGTGAGGTTTATTGTATTAAAGTATTTGTTTTTGGAGAACTGTGATAACCTTAATGTCTTTTTGTGGTTCTGGTCCCAAACCCAGAGAGGTAATGAGTTCAAATCACATCTGAGTAAGTTATGAAACCAAAATTGATAAATCTGCTAATTTGTCAGCTGATACCTGGAAAATGACCAGTGAAGCTTTCACATAATCCCATCTGCTTCATTAATGTCGCACACCACAAAACTATTGTACCTTGAACATTGAAATACTCAGTCAAGAAGCACTTGGATGTTAAGTTAAACTGTGTGTGTGTGACATGGTCAAATTCCCTCTTCTTCTAATGTACGTTTCTATAAGAACACACTGTTATGGTTGTGTATTGTGGTTTATTACTTAGAAAATGGATCTGTGACTTCCTGTTTGTGGTACTCAGGAACTCGACTGCAGTAGAGACTGAAGTTTAGGGATCCATAGGATTTGTTCTGGATTTGATCTGAATAAATCACTTTCCAAGGGTTTAATTGCACTTTCAGTATTAATGGGATTTGCTGACTAATTGTAGATAACTGAAGAGATTACAATTATGCCAATACACCAGTGGAAACAAGCCCAGTTCAGTTATTCAGACACTTAACTGAATTGTTTTCTGCATGTATGGTCAGCAACTGTTTCACATAATTATAAAGTTTACATTAAAAACTCATTGTAAAGTTTTATTTTTTTTTATTATTCTCATTACCCCAAAGAGGACTAGAGTTTGGACTGGAGGAGGCTGATTAGATAGATGTTTTAACATTGAGTTCAGAACTGAACAAATAACAATATGAAATTTTTACAGCAGTATTGGTGATATTACCATTTCTGTCCCTTTGTCTCTAGATTACTTCAGAGAGTTGCATAGAACATAAATTATAGAGACAGGCCATTCAAACAGCTATTCTGTTCTAGTTTTTATACTTTACTCAAATCCTATCCAATTGCAGTTATTTCATCACATCCTCATAACATTTTTTTTATTCTCTCTTCTCTCAAGTACTTATTCAGTTTTCCTTTGAAAGAATCTAAACAATTGATCTCAATCACTTGCTGTGGTAGTGAGTTTCACATTATCACCACACTCTCTGAGTAAAATAATTTCTCCTTACTTGCAACTATCTTCTATTTATGACTCCATAGTTTTATGTTCTTCCACAAATTGAAACATTCCACATCTACCATCTCCAATCTATTCATCATTTTAAGGATCTCTTTCAGGTCTCCTTTATCTTCTATTTTTGAAAGTAAAAAACCCAATCCGTTCAATATTTCATATGTTTTCTGGAACCTGTAATCTCTGTGTTCTGGCACCATCTAATTTCTTTTTCACTTTCCCTAGAGATTCTGCCTTTATAGAATGGAAACCAGAATCAGACATAATTCTGTATGAACCTCCTGTATAGAAACATGTCCTATACATGTTCCTACTTTTCCTATCAAAGTGAATCACCTCTCATTAATCTATGCTGAAGTATATTTGCCACTTAACTGTTGAATCTGCATATTTTCTTCATTAATTTATCTAAATATTGGCATAGTCATTGCTTCGCATCATTAACTCAGGTGCGGTATTCTATTTAATACTGAAAGTGCAATTAAACCCTTGGAAAGTGATTTATTCAGATCAAATCCAGAACAAATCCTATGGATCCCCAAACTTCAGCCTCTACTGTAGTCGAGTTCCTGAGTACCACGTTGTCTAAACAGGAAGTCACAGATCCATTTTCTAAGTAATAAACCACAATACACAACCATAACAGTGTATTCTTGTAGAAGAGTTCATCCTACGTCAGTCCTTAACTTCTTGCTTTTAATCTTAACTGACTACTTTGATTTTCCTAAACAAGAAAAAACTATAAGAACTGCAGATGCTGGAAATCAGAAACAAAAGCAGAAATTACAGGAAAAGCTCAGGTATTCTAGCAGCATCAGTGGAGAGAAAGCACAGTTAATGTTTCAGGTCCTGTGAACCTTCAGTTCTGAAGTGGAGTCACTTAACTATGCTTTCTCTCCACAGATGTTGCAAGGTCTGCTGAGGTTTTCCAGCAATTTCTGTTTTTGTTTTTGATTTCCTTTTGCTTTCTACAATGTGTCCATTTTATTGTGTTAACTTGTCAATTTACTTCATCTGTTTCCACCACTGTATTCACCTGCTCTTGGACTTTTTAAAAAAAAAAAATTCCATGACCCTTTCTAGCTGAATGAACTGTTCAGCTTCTCTTTTTATTTTATCACTTCATTAGTTCCCTTCAACTTCACTGTTTGGGAGTCACAGCAGCTAAATGGAGTTTGAGTATAAATGACCAATTATCTAATTAAGTCGAGAAACATGCTAAAAGAGCTGAATGGCCTATCACTATTCCTGTATTTGTTATTGTAATCATCCGTGTTATGTAGCTACTCCCCACTATGTGTTAAATAGTTATTCTTCTACACTCCAGCCCCTTGGCACCTGTTACCCAGTTTTCATAGAATCCCTATAGTGTGGAAGCAGGCCATTCAGCCCATTGAGTCCAAACTGAGCCTCCAAAGAGCATCCCATCCCGACCCACCCCGTCTTTGGCTAATCCACCTAGCCAATGTATCCCTGGACACTATGGGCAATTTAGCACAGCCAGCCTGCCTAACCTGCACATCTTTGGACTCTGGGAGAAAACTAGAGCACCCGGAGGAAATCCACACAGATGCAGGAAGAATGTGCAAACTCCATATAGACAATCACTCGAGGTGGAATCAAAGCCAGGTCTCTGGTGCTGTGAGGCAGCAGTACTAATCACTGACCCATCGTGCTGCCCTGTAAAGCTCTGCCAATGTGACTTGAAGTTACAGAACTACCTTTCACTTCCAGGTTTAATTCCCTGATTCTCTCTATCACTTTAATACATAGCTGTAGAAGTAAACTCGAGATCCTCAACATTCAAGTTCAGCTCCTAAACCTGCTTTGTGAGCTCTCTTTGCAGCCATTCAGGCCTTGCCTAGATCATTAACTTTAATGGGTTGTGATGATTGGGTCATAGTCACTAAGTGAAACCAGGATGTAAACAGCCAGCGGTAAATATGAGGGCAGTGATCCAAACTCAATGACCTTTTGTTCTTTACGTCTAAGGCTCATGAGTACAGTGTTGGGCAGGAGTTAATGCATGTTCTTAAAGTGGCTTCAGGATTTAATCTAATCCAAGACTGAATTTTAAAAAAAAGGAATAGCTTTATTTTTGGTTTAACATGCAGCTAAAATTATCTGTTTGATCTGTGAATCCAAACACAATTGTGCAAATGTACTCTGGAATCGTTTTGCCATGTTGATTTGTTGTCGAATACTTAATGTTAAGGCAATACTTTAAATTGCAGAGGAACAGGTTACTCAACTGCTTAAATCTGTTCTAGCATTCAGTTAGGTCATAGCTGAATTGTTCCTCAGCTGTTTACATGGCTTTGTTACTTGTCCCTCAGTATTTTTAGCTAATTAAAGTCTATTGATTGTAACGTTAAACATTTCAATTGAACCCTTGGATCTGCAGCTCTTTTGGAGATAGCTCTAGATTTTTATTCTGATATGGTGAAGTGTTTTCCCTTGAATGAGGGCCTTGTTCTAACCTTAACCCAACTAAATATGCGCTCCTCTAATTTGCATCTCTTAAGCATCCTGATTTTAATCACTCTACCAATGATGACTCTGCCTTTGGTTGTCTGGACCCTAAACTGTGGAATTCACTTCCTATATCTCTCCCCTTATCTACCTCATTTTCCTTCTTTAATTCACTCCTCTGTGACCAAATGTTTGGTCATCAGTCCTAATATTTTCTTATGTGACGTGGTGTTATACTTTGCTTTATAATGTTCCAGTGATGTGTCTTGAGTTGTTTTACATGTACATGTTGTTGTAAAATAAGTTGCACAATTTGGTGAAGGTTGTGTCCCTTCGCTTCGAAGCAGGTGGCTTTGGTTTAGTATTGGCTTTTGGCAATTGACATCTCACATATCTCATTTACTACACCCCTGTTGTAACTTTTCTTGTCTCTGTTTAATCAATCCTTGATTGGTATGCGACTTAACTGTTCTCTCATTCCTCCTACACATTGACTATCCAGTCTATAATAGAGTTAACCAATGCTAGAAGAGGCCAATCATACTAGTGCTGGCTGCCTGAAGGAGTTTTCCAAATAGTGCCACTGCTATATTTTTTCCTCCATTGGCCTGCAAATGTTTTCTTCTTTAAGCATATATCCTTTTGAAAGACACTGTTGAATCAGCTTTGACACCCTTTACAGCAGTACCATCCAGATCATAACTTTCTGTATAAGCATCCCATCAGTGTTTAAAACAAGATCAAGGCTCTTTTTGTTCTTCCTGCTTTTTTTCCTACTACAATTCCAAGTTTTGGTGTCCCCTTATCCACAACTTTCTGATTTACGTCCTGTCCCTCCTCCCCTTTTCAACTTATCATCTTAATAGGAGAATAGTCTAACGTTGTGTTTTCTTGTCCCATGAGCAGTTCCACCATGCTGAGCCGTCTGTCAGACCTGGCGAAGGGTGTCAACACCGTGCTGCAGGATCTTTCAGGGGATGATAGTGGAGACGGGACCAGTGTTTCTCAGGAAGTGGTGAGTTACATACAAGGGTCCTATAGTGTTTCTACTTTTCCTATCAAAGCGCGTCATCTCACATTTACCTTTACCAACTTTCATTTGCTGTTTGATTGTCTAGTCTGCAAGTTTTCTTCGGTTAGTTACTTAAACTGATTTTTAATATTGACATGGGCCTAACAATAGTAGTTGAATGTGAATAGTTGAAGTATTTACCCTTGCTGTTTCAACCAAGTGTCGCTGTCACTGGAAAAGAATCATTGATCTCAAATCTCTGAGATACTGTTTTTCTCTCTCCACAGATGTTGCCAAACCTGCTAAGTTTTTCCAACACTTTGTGTTTTTGTGTCACTATCACCAGATTTCTTTCTGCCCTAAATATCTTCCTTCAGCTTGGGAGAAGTATCCCTCAATTCTGATGAAAGCGTCCAACGTGAAGTGTTAACTACTTCACTCTCCTCACATACTTCCAGACTGTTGTATATTTCCAGTTTTTGTTTCAGAGTTCTGTGGTATTTTGCATTAGGTGGACAGATATACCTGCTAGTGCCCTGCTTGAGTGTTAACTGCGCAGTTTTTCAGATTGTCTTTAACATTTCCTGGATGTTACGTGAAAACTTAAAGCACATATTCTGTTATGGAGATTCTCTTGCTAAAACAAGTGTAAATGGGTTATACTCTTGAGAGTGCTGGCCTTTTCTGCCACTTTATTTGCATTGTGCAGGAGACCAATCAGCAGCCAGAGGTAGAGGCCTGTGCTAAGGTATCAGAGGATGTGTCGGAGCGTCTGGCACAGACTGAGCAGCTTGTGGTTCAGCTCAAAGAACTCATACGTGAGAAAGACTTGCAGCTTCAGAGTAAAGAGATCACAATTAAGGTGAGTTGTGGAGTTTAATGTGATCAGCTTGAGAGGTGTACCATTTATCACTCTGAACTTTCCTGTTGAAGTAAGACTCTCTACGATCCACCTGACGATTGTACTAAATATCCCTTGTTATTAGGCAAAATAATTTTTTCTATGTATCTTTTTTTGAATTTAGTTCTCACTGATTTCCATTTTTTCTCTGCTCCTACTTTCCTTATATACATTTAAATCTTGTGAGTCTATATTCTAAACTTCTCCCAAGTCTTTGTTTGCCAAAACAGTCTCATTCATTAGATGAGTAAGAGGTGCATTTTTGTACTTGCATTCTGTCTTTGATCTCATCACCCAGTCTTTGAGTAAATAAGTTTCATCTGAACTCCCTACAGGATTTAGTAATGACTACTTTTTATATTTATGCCTGCTTTTTTTTTAGTCTCTCCGACATGTGGGAACATCTCTAAACCTACTCTGTCAAATTAATTTGTAATTTTAAAGACCTTTTATCAAGTTATTGCTCAGTGTTCGCTTCTTTACAGCATATAGCCTTCTTTTGCTATGGGTATAACATCTCAATTCTACTATCAACTTTTTAAATCTTTTTCACATATTCTCCAGTGCCTTTAAATCCCTCTTGTAATAGAGAGCAAATGTATGCATATTAATGTTTGCATGCATGTGCAGGCACATTTGTGAGTAAACATGGCTTACAGCTGAACCCAACCCTACACTTTTTAATTTCCGCATAAAAACCAAAAGAACTGCGGATGCTGTAAATCAGGAACAAAAACAAAGTTGCTGGAAAAGCGCAGCAGGTGTGGCAGCATCCATGAAGGAAAAAATAGAGTTAACGTTTCGGGTTACGTCGGGTCGGAACCTTCTGAGGACCCAAAATGTTAACTCTGTTTTTTCCTTCACAGCTGCTGCCGGACCTGCTGAGCTTTTCCAGCAGCTTTGTTTTTGTTCCACTTTTTAATTCCCATTTTGGTATGAATGACCCTGATTCTACACAAGCTGGTAGTTTGCTGATCAAAGCATCAGGGGGTCGTTTTGAGTGCACCATTTGATAACAGAGAATGTGTGATTATTTCACAGGAGGAGAAGGAGCTGTTTGATGCCAAATTGGCAAAACTAAAGCTGCAGGCAAAAGCAAAGGTTGTCTCATTAAATGCCCGGATTGAGGAACTACAGAAACAAACATTATGCATACCATCATCACAGCCAGAGGAGCATACTACTGAGGTAAGGAAACAGATAAACTCATGTGAGTGGTTATATATAAGAGTATATTCCTAAGGATTCCAAGTACTTAGCTCAAAACATTTGCCTGAGTAATCGTGTGCACCTGGTTTGAAACATCATAAGCTAATTGCAGTTTTTGATGCTGGTGGCTCAATTAAGGAATCTTTAGATGTAAGGCCAGAACACACCATGCAGGAGCCTATTCGCTAATGAACAAGTTGACAAAAAGTGAAGTAGATCAAAAATTTGTAATGAAGGGATGCCAAGTAACCATTGTTGCTTTGCAGTGCCCATCCTCATTGCTTTCTGGCACGCAGTCCCTGTAACTTTATGCAGGCAGCTTTCCAGCACAGAGTTCAGGAAACATCCAAGGTGGAATATCCAACTCGTAACTGGAGTTAATTGGAAAGAGTTCTAATTTTCAGTCACCTGAGGCTAACAAATCTAATCACACCGACAATAATCTGCAGCTGATCATCAAAGACTACAGCTGGACCTATCATAGTTTTCCAATTACTGGAAGTCAGTGTCTAAAATAACAAGTAAGTAAAGGTAGAATCAGGGTGACCAGTTTTTCTTTTTAATCTTTAAAGCTGACCTGCTTTGATCGGATTATAGTCTATCGAATTCTGTTCTATTTACTGCCTGTTAGGCTTTGCTGATCCACCGTAATTTTAGCCACTGGCTTTTGACAGGCACCTGGGAAGGTTTGAAATTAGCTGCCATATGTGAGTTAAAGCTCCCTTCACCAAGTGAGCCATTATCAAGTATGAGGTGGAATGACTTCGACACAACAATATCCTGTTAGTTTTCTTTTCAAAAGGCAGCACAGCTCACTGTCTCCCTGAGCTCCTCCAAACTCCACAATATTGCAATTTTTGCACTCTCTTATTTTTGGTCTTCTTTTTGTCCCTGATTTTCAACTCTATACTTTTGGTTACAATTTAGATCACAGTTTCAGCTGATGAGACTTTTCACCTCCGGAATTCCTTTTTTAAACTTCTGTCTCTCTCTGTGTCTTCCAAGTTCTCTTTGACCAAGATTTGGGTTATCTGTCCTAATATCACTTTATCAGTGTCTGATTTTTCTTATTAAGCTTCTATGAAGTAATTTGGAATGTGACACGACTTTTAAAAAATGGATATGGAATAAAACTTCCTCAATACAGTTCCAGAAAACCTCGTTGAGGAAGAGTAATGTGGGTGCAATTCACTAGTGTTTAGAAGAACCAGTGGTACCTCTTAGAAATCCATAACATTTTTACAGGATGAGACATGGTAAACGCAGGAAAGATATTCCCACTGATCAGGGAGTCCAGAACCAGGGGTCACAGTCTAGGATACAGGGGAGGCCATTTAGATTGAGATGAGGAATTTCCTCACCCAGAGAGGGGTGAGCCTGTGGAATTCTTTCACAGAATGCAATTGAGGCCAAACATTGAATGTTTGGATTTTAGTAAGGCTTTCCAAATGATCCCTCATTGTAGGCTCACCCAGAAGATTAAGATAAATGGGATCCACGGTGACTTGGCTGCACAGATTCAGAATTGGCTTGCCCATAGAAGGCAGAAGGTAGTAGTGGAAAGGTGCTTTTCAGGCTGGAGGTCTGTGACTAGTGGTGTTCTACAGGGATCCGTACTGGTACCTTTTGCTGTTTGTGGTAATATATAAATGACTTGGATGAAAATGTAGATGGGTGGGTTAATAAGTCTTAAGACGATAATAAGATCAATGGAGTTGTGGATAGTGTAGAAGGTTGTCAAAGAATACAGTGGGATATAGATCTGTTGCAGATTTGGCCGGAATATGGCAGATGGATCTTAATCTGGCTAAGTGTGAGGTGCTGTACTTTGGGAGATCAAATATTAAGGAAAAGTGTACAGTTAATGGCAGGACACTGAACAGCATTGATGTACAGAGGGATCTTGGGGTTCATTTCCATAGCTCCCTGAAAGTGGCCATGCAAGTAGGTGGGGTGGTGAAGAAGGTATATGGCATGCTTGCCTTTATTGGTCGGGGAATTCAGAACAAGAGTCAGTATGTCATGTTGCAGCTTTATATGACTTCGGTTAGGCCACACAAGAGTATTGAGTTCAATTCTAGGCCACATTACAGGGAGGATATGGAGGCTTTGGAGAGGGTGCAGAAAGTTTACCAGGATGCTGCCTGGATTAGAGGGTACGAGCTATAAGGAGAGGCTAGAAAAACTTCCATTTCAAGCCCACCGACTCCCTCAGCTACCTGGACTACACCACCTCCCACCCACCCTCCTGCAAGAATGTGATCCCATACTCCTAATTCCTCTGCCTCCACTGCATCTGCTCCCAAGGTGGGGCGTTCCACTCCCGAGCATCCCAGATGTCCTCCTATTTCAAGGAATGTAACCTGCCCCCACCCCACCCCCTCCAGTGATTGAAGATGCCCTCAACCGTACCTCTAGCATTTCCCACACTTCTGCCCTCACACACCCTTCCCCCAACAAAAATAAAGACAGAATCCCCCGTGTTCTCACATATCACCCGACCAATCTCCGCATCCAATGTATCATTCTCCGTTACTTCTGCCACCCACAATCCAACCCCACAACCAAAGAGATATTTCCGTCTCCACCCCTATCTGCCTTTCATAGGGACCGCTCACTCTGTGACTCCCTCGTCTGCTCCACACTCCCCACTAACCCCGCCACCCCCGACACCTTTCCCTGCAACCACAGGAAGTGCTACACCTGCTCCTACACCACCTCCTCTCCCTCCTCCCGCCTTCCCCCCACCCCCATTCAAGGCACAAAACAAGCTTTCCATATCAGACAGGGGTTCACCTGCACATTTGTCAACTTTGTCTACTCTGTCCGTTGCTCCCGATGTGGCCTCCTGTTATCGGTGACACCAAGCATAGACTCGGAGACCATTTCGTAGAGCATCTGTTCTCTGTATGCAATGAACGACAACACCTTCCAGTCGCCAACCATTTTAACTCCCCCTCCCACTCCGCTCCCTGGGTGACGTGTCCATCCTGGGCCTCCTCCAGTGTCACAATGACACCACCCGGAAACTGGAGGAGCAGCCCCTCATATTCCATCTGGGGAGCCTACCGCCCGATGGCCTAAGCGTGGAATTCATCAGTTTTATAATCTCTGCACCCCCGGCCTCATCCCATGACCAAACTCCCCCTCTCACCCCTGCCTCTTTGACCTGACACAACCTGTCCATCTTCTCTCCCACCTATCTGCCCCTCCCACCTCACTGACCAATCCTCACCACTCCCTACTTGCACTCACCTATCACCATCCCACCTACCTTCCCCAGCCCCACCCCTCCTCTCTATTTATTTCCCAGCTCCCTTCCCCCTCCCCATTTCTGAAGAAGGGTCACGAAACATCAACTTTCCTGTTACCCTGATGCTGCCTGGCCTGCTGTGTTCCTCCAGCTCCACGCTGTGTTGTCTCTGACTCTAGCATTTGCAGTTCTTGCTATCTTTGAAAAACTCGGGTTGTTTTCTCTGAAGCAGGAGAGGCTGAGGAGAGACTTGATGGAAGCCTATAAAATTGAGATGCATAGATAGAGTTGACAGTGAGAATCTTTTTCCTCGAGTTGAAATGTCCAAAACTAGGGGGCGTGCATTTAAGATGAGAGGGGGAAAGTTCAAAGATGATGTGGGGGCAAGTTTTTTATGCAGAGAGTGGTAGCAGTCTGGAACACACTGTCAGGAGTGGTGGTGGAGGCAGATAAGATAAGGGCATTTAAGAGACTTTTAGATAACCACATGAATATGCAAGGAATAGAGGAAAATGGACCATGGGCAGGCAGAAGGGATTATTTTAATTTAATTTCATGTTCGGCACAACATTGTGGGCCAAAAGGCCCATTTCTGTGCTGTACAGTTCTATGTTCTGTGTTCTAAAGCCATGATCAGATTGAATAGCAGAGCAGACTGAAAGGGCTGAATGGCCTTCTCGTGCACTTTTTTTATATGTTTCTATGAGAAACAGCATTAAATTCCCTCTTAACTGTTCGATCAAACTAACCCAATACATATAGAGCATAATTTTGCTGAGAGGTTAAAGGTTTTAATGAATTGCATTCAATTTCCACAGTAGTAACAGCCTTGAATTATTAATACTTTATTGCTCTTCTTGAGTGAAATTGCCAATTTTGTGCAATATTAGAGCCAGTTTAGTGATGTGGTCTAATTTCTGTGGAGAACTGGGTTGAGACATTCCAAACTCAGTCCACACAGAATCCTTTCAATCGGAAAAGGTTTATCCGTTCTCTTTGTTTCAAATTTGATAAAACCAGCTTCTAACTTGCTACATTCTTCCATCAACTAGAGAGCCAACCTCAATGACATTGTATTGTTTTCTTCCTGAAATTCCATTGACAGGTGCATCTAATACAAAGCTCCACATCTGAGCAGCAAGATGAAATCAAGAAACTTAAGAATCAACTTGAGCAGCAGGAGGAGAACTGTAGGACCCTGCAGACAGCTCTAGATAGTACAAAGGACCAACTTCAAGCTACCAATGAACTTCTGAAGCAGAAAGAGACTGAACATGCACAGCAGGTAAAGAGATTGGTTTTCTGTGAAAGATAAACAAGGACAGCATGGTTTAGATGAAGATTTCATGCTTTGACCCATGAAACACACTCAGGACAAATACAGCATGAGTACATGGGTTTACTCCAATCCCTATCTGCTTTCATGTGAATCTTGTAAACAGGACTAGCAATTTGGTGTGAAATTTTACAGAATTTGAAGCAATATAATGTAGAAATAATCAAACGGAAACATACAGACTAATTTCACATTGAACTCTGGTGACAGATCCTAGAGGCAAAGGGCTTGTAGCTGAATCCTTCTGCAATCCAAATTATGTGTTCATGTTTTGTAATTACAGCTCCGTTCTGTTCAAGACGTCATTCTTGAAAAGGATGCACGATTCCAAGAGCACATTCAGAAACATGAGGAAGAGCTCATGCAGCTGGCATCTGGATCTGAGATAAACAAAGAATTGCAGCAGGTAAGTGTTGCAGGGCTAGTAATAAACTAACAATGGATCACTGATAGGGAGGTGAAAGTCGGATGGAACTGATGACAAATTGAATAAGTTGAGAAATGGCTAAGTGATAGAAGACAGAGATGGCGCTGAATAGAAATGTTCAGCCTGAGAAAGCATAGCCAGTGAAATTCTTAATCTTTTATGTGCAATATTTAATTTTGATATGGGTGTCTGTAAATTAAATTAAATTTATTTATGACACAAATGTGTGTGATAGCTACAGAAGAGCTTGCTTTAAACTTGCATTTTCACAAACTTGGGTGTTTCACAGCACTTTACACCGATGAAGTGCTTGTGAAGTGTTAATGTTTCGAATCCAATAATCTTTCGTCAAAGGGTCATTGGACTCGACGTTAACTCTGTTTTTCTCACTCTAGATGTTGCTTCATTTCTCCAGCACTTTCAGTTTTTGTTTCGGATTTCCAGAATCCGCAGTTCTTTGTTTTTATGCTTATGAAGTTCTGTCACTGTTGTAATGAAGGAACCAATCTCTCAAAGCAAACTCCTACAAACGGTAATGTCCAGATCATCTCATTCAATCACATTAGTCAAAGAATAAATACTGACCAGGACTACAGAGATAACTCCCTTATTCTTTAAAATATTGCCAAGGAATCTTAAGTGCCAAATTGAGATGGTGCTAAGGGCCTCAATTAATGTCTAACCCAGAAGATGGTACTGCCTTCTGCAATGAAGTATCACGCGAGATTACGTGCTGAAGTCTATGGTGTCAGTTGGACCCACAACCTTGTGGTCTGAGCCGACGGTGTGACCACAGAGCCACAACTGAAGCATAACCATCCTCAGAAAGACCTGGATATTTATGTAGAAGGGCTGAGATATGACAGATTTTTATGTGTACCGTTTTATTTATGAAGAGGGAATAGTAAACAATTGTAAGTGGACAACATAAAAGGATATCATCCAGCAGAAGCTGCAAATGACTTTGAAGTAATTTATCTTGCTCCAAAAGCATCTATTCATTGTGATTAAGTTATTACTGAGGCATATTGAGTTCTGGGAGTACGTTGAGAACACAAAACAATAAGATATTCTAAATGTACCGAGAACATAGAACAGTACAGCCCAGGAATTTTGGGGCTGACCATGATGCCATTCCAAATTAATCATGTCTGCCTGCACATGGTCAATATCCCTCTTCCCTGCCTGTTGATGTGTCCATCTGATTGCCTCTTAAGCATTTCTAAAGCATCTGCTCTTACAACCTCCCCTGGTAGTGTGTTCCCACCCTGTGTGTAAAAAGAACTTCCCTCACATATCTCCCTTAAACCTTTCCCCTCTCACCATAAACCTATGTCCCCTAGTATTTGACATTTCTACCCTGGGAAATACTCCGACTATCCACCCTATCCATGCCTCTCATAATTTTATATACCTCTTTCAGGTCGCCTCTCAGCCTCCGACACTCAAGTGAAAGCAATTGAAGTCTTTTGAACCTTCCCTTGTAGCTAATAATGAGCCCAGGTCCATATACTTTTTCCCACGTGACTGCAATAGATATGGATACTTTCAGAATGGCCAGGTTGATAGACACTCATGTGGACTTGATTACAAAAAAGGGTCAACCAAATTCTGTGGATCTCTGCAGTCTGATTTTTATTCATTTTTTAAAAATCCTGGTGTGTGGAAGCATATGTGCATGTTCACGATTGCTTATGTGCATATGAGGTCCATATATCTTGTGAATCTGCACAGTGAGTGCCTTTGTATGTATCTGTTGTGTGCGCATGTTTTTCTCCCTTCCCTTTCTGTTCCTCTTCAAACATTGCTGCATGTCAACATTCTCCAGATTTTACAAAGCTCCAGTGCTGTCACAATGCTAATGCGTCTTTCTTGTGCATAGAGGAGGCCTGATCTGAGGGTTTGCAACAATTTGTTTTTTTTTACATTTGCAGCATTTACAGTATTTTGGTTTCCTTTCTGATCGTGTTGTGTTCCCATGCACTTCCTACTTTTTCTTTAGGTTTTTCATTGTTTCCTCTATCTTGTATTTTGTTTTATTTTATAGATGGTGAAATCATTACAAAGAAAAGTGGAAGAGAACGAGGAAGCACTGCTGGGCCGGACCCGTGTGGTGGAGATGTTACAGCAGGAACTGAATGATACTGATCAGAAAAAACAGGTTTCTGATCCATTTAAATAGAGCCTTTTCTATTTTTCATTAAGAAACTTGGGATAATTGTGCAGGACAGATCCACATACATATAGCAGCAAAGAAGAAAATAAATTGTGAAGAATTTCAAATAAAAAGGTCTATCGTAAACTAGGGATGGTGATCTTTTAAAAAAAAAATTTTGTTATTCTGGCAAAACTAGCATTTATTGTCGAATTTTTGGTGCTTTGATAACTAAGAGGCTTGCAACGCAGTACAGAGGGCAGTTCACAATTCGCCACGTTAGTGGAGACTGAGTGACAGAGTGACATATAGATCAGACCAATTAACTTTTCCTTCCTAAAGGTCAGTTGCAAAAATACTGGACTTTGCAACAATCTAGTAGATGCCTAGCTACTGTTACTGATCCTGATTTTTTTTTTTTTTTATTTTCATGCCATGCAGGTGTCACAAAACTTATCTTTTGAAAGCTTGTAAACTGTAGTAGGAAGAGAAGACTGAGGAGGGAGGAGTTCCGTAGTTTTCATGTCCTTTGAGGAGAAAAAATGAATTTAGTAGAAAATTGATTGAATAATGGAAGGTGGAGGCAAGAGGCAGAGCATGGAAAGTGTCTTGTTTGGAGGTAAAACAAACCAGGGAACAACAGTAGAGATAATGGCCTTCATAAAGCAGCAAAGGATGGGAAAAGTAGCTGCACAGTTAGAGATAATGAAACCTGCTCAGTTAGTGCTTTGGGACATGCAGTAGGTTCCATGGAGTTGAACATTCTAATGTTGATGAAGCTCACTGAGTCTCACAAAACCTGTTGAGGTAAAGGGAACTTTCAGGAGAGCTTTTTACATTGAGTTTTTCTCAAATTAGCCCCACTAACAAAGGGAATTCTACAATTGGCCTTAATTTTCCAGCATCCTGACGGTTGTATGTGACCCAGTAACGTGTTGGAAAGTGGGTGCTTGAGGGCACTGGATGAGAAGAGGTTTGCCTATCTGTTTTCTTTCCTCCCTGCCTTCCCATCCTTTGGCATTCGTTATTCAACCTTGCTCACGTGGAGTAGCCACTGGATTGAAATATGAGAGGGCGAATTTCTCCCGTGGAATCATGTGCTAAAATCGGGTCCATGTCAACTGGACGATGATAAACGGTTTAATTTTGTCCTGGAATAACAAGTTCAAGTGCACAGTCTACGTTTGGAGAGAGAAAATACACAGCCAATGCATGGAAGCAATATTTTCATAAATCCATAAAGCAGGCTCCCCCGGACCATGGTGGAAGTTGTTAGTGTTGGCTCATTTAAATGCAAAGGAGATAAATTAAAAAAAAAGGCATTTTGGGATACAAGGTATGAGTAATTAGAAACATAATGTGTGGTAAATTCAGCAGACTTGGGAGAAACTGTTGCCTTTATACTTATGGTTCCCAAAGCTATCCACCACAAAGGTTTTCCTCATGGCTGAATTTATTATAGATGAATTGATAAAGATTGTTTGCTGTGTTCAGTCAATAACTCCATTATTGTTGTATTGTGAGACTCTCAGAATGATGGGAAGTGAGGTAAAAAGACCATTGGTTTACACTGAGCAGCTCCTAGGTTCCAGTGAGTAAGTGCTTGTAAAAGACAGGGGAAAATGATATTGCTACCTGGAGTTTTTCAAGCAATGTTTCAATATTTAACATGCTTTTGCCCTTCAGGTCCTTGGGGAAAAGCTGCAGGAGGCCGAGGCCAACATTGCTATGTTACAAACTGCACTAGAATCCGAGAAATTATCAGCCGAAACGCGACTGAGGAAAGTGACTGAGAAATATGAGACTGAGTTAATGGAGAAGAATTATATTGCTACACAGATGCAACAGGCACTGCAAGATGCTCAGTCATCCTGTACTGATCTGACCGCACAAAACCAAAAGCTGCAAAGTGTGATAGAAGACCAGGAGAGAATGTGCAAAAAATTGACTGATGAAATAAAGGAGGTGCAAGGTAAAGAAGTAAAACTCTCCAGAAAAGTCAGAGCTACATTGTTAAGTATCCATTGTTTTTGTTTCTTGATCAGTGGTTCACAGAGGTTTCCATAATCTTTCCGATAATCTCCGATCCCCATTTACAGTCGTACTTGCTTTGAAGGTTATGCTAATCCTATTTCATCTTTCATTTGTCTTTGGGATTAAGCACTGTCTCACGTTATGTTGTTAGAGTGGTTAATCAAAGACCTGAGTTTAACAGGCTAATTGTGTGATGCATCTATTTACAGTTAAACGTAATCTGAAGCGTTCAAAAGTAGTACAAATACTACGTTAATGTTGATCTCTCTCTGCACCTTCTCAGCAGCTGTAACACCGAATCCTGCACTCTTCTGTTACCCTGATGCACTTCTATAGTATGAGCTGCCTGTAAAGCACATAAGACAACACTTTTCATTGTACCTCGGTACACATGACAGTAATAAATCAAATACAATCTATCGACATATATACATTGATGTTAGTCTGAAATTGGTCACATATTCTAATGTAGGACCTTTATCGTTTGAAAGGCAAAACCTTGGTCATTAACAAACAAATGCTATTGCTTAATTCGTTCAGTAATTTTGGTACTAGTGTAAAACTGCTACAGACCACCTTCCTCAATCAGAGCTTGAGAATAAATGTTCATCTAAGATGCTGAAGTCAAACAAACTATCTGTTTTAATCCATTAATTACTTGTCGTGACATGTTTTGATAATGTTTTGAGAACTGTGGGTGTTGATTCAGCTCTTGAATACAAATCCATCATGACTGAAAAGAGAAGGATAAGAGAGGAAATATTCGTGCAGGTACCAGTTAGTTGATGCCAGTCTTCTTCTTTTATTACCATTTTTGTCAACTTCATATTTGTTAAAGCACAGATGCTAGTTGGAAAATTGGCATAAGAGGCACCTAGTTTCAACATCGATAATTACCGGGATGGGTACTGTGCTGATTAGATAAATGTGATTCTCACCTGGACTGTCCTATCAAACATTCCCAGGACAGGCACAATATGAATTCAATACAAAGTAAAGTTCCCAGTGCACTGTGCCATCAAACAATCCTACACCAGTATAGTTTAAATGCAGAGTAAAGCTGCTCCTACTCCTCCATGCTTAATGGAGATTGTAATGTCTTTTTTTCAGCATTACTAAAGTCCCTCGTGGTTTCATGCTAGTAAATCTCTGCTACATGGCTCCCAAGGCCTTGGCACCCAAAATTTGATACAATGCTCTAGCTGAGATTTAAGCAAACAACCTGTGTTTTATAAGAGCATAAAAACATAAGCAATAGGAGCAGGAGAATTCTATTTAGCTTTTTAGATTCAATTAGATTATGACTTATCCACTAGACCTTCCCACACTTTTTCCAGTTCTCTTAATTCTCACAATACCCAAATATCTATTGGTTTGTATATTGAATATACTCCATAATTAAACATCCAGTGATCTGGCATACAGAATTACAAAGATGCGTAACCCTTGAATGAAGAAATTTTTCCTCATTTCAGTTCTAAATGGCCATCGCCCTTCTTTTAAACTGTTACCCCTTGTTTTAGGCTCCCTAGCAATGCAGCACATCCTCCCAACTCCTTGATAATTTTATGTTTCGATTTGATTACCTGTCTTGCTTCTAAATTCTAGGGAGTATAAGCTTAGTCAACTCATCTTTCCTCCATAGAGTCATCCTGTCAATCCAGGAATCAATCCAGTCAACTTTCATTGTACAGCAGTTCCCCCTACAGCAAGTATATCATTCCTTAGATGAAGAGACAAAAGCTGTATATAGTGCTTTAAATATGGTCTCAGCAAAGCCCTCTATGATTATAATAAAACTTTGCTTCTGTAGTCCAAACCCTTTGTAATAAAGACTTGCATGCTACTTTTTCTCCTAATGTTTGCTAAACCTATGTGTTATCTTTTTATGACTCAAGTAGGAAGGCACCAATGCTCTTCTGAATACCAACATTTCCCAGTCTGTCACTATTTAGAAGATGCCCTGGTTTTCTGTTATCACTGCCAAAGTGTATAACTTTACATGCCTCTCATGTCATATTTTTGTACTCAATGGTCGAGGATATGCTTTAACAACTGAATGATAAATAAGAGAAGAAAATGCCTAACTGTTACTGTGTGGGATTTTCTTTCTACTGTCCTATTTGAACTCAGTTTTTACAAACTGTATCAGTGATTTGGATGAGGGGACCAAAGATACAGTAGCTACATTTACTGATGATATCAAGATTAAGAATCTATAAATAAATGTGGACGGGCAAATGAGTGGTCAAACATTTGGCAGGTGGAGAATAATGTGAGAAAATATGAACTTGTCCACTAGAAACGGGGTATATTTAGATAGAGAAAGATTGCAGAACCGGTAAGAAGAATCTGGGTATCCTGGTATGTGAACCATAAAAAGTTGTTATGTAATTACAGTCAGTAATATGGAAGACACATGAAATGTTGGCATTTATTTCAACAGGAATTGAGTATAAATGCGTGGAAGTTTTACTGCAGTTGTACAGGCTTTCGGTAAAACCATATATGGGGTACAGTGTATATTTGGGTCTCTGTTACAATATTGTATGCAGTTCTGGTATCCACATTATAGGAGGAATCTGGTTGTACTGGAAAGGATGCAGAGGAGATTTACCAAGATGTTGCCGGGGCTGGAGAGCTTTAGTTTGGATAGATTGGGGTTGTTTTCCTTGAAGCACAGGAGACTGAGCAAAGACGTGATTGAAATGTATAAGACTGCGATGGGCATAGACAGAGGAGAAGGATCTTTTCTCCTTTGTGGAAAGATCAAAGACTGGGGGGCATCAATTTAAGGTAAAGAGCAAGAGACTTAGAGGGATGTAAGGAAAGACTTTTCACCCAGAGGGTGGCGGGAACCTGGAATTCATTGCCTGTAATTAAGGTAGAAACAGAAACCCTTGTAACGTTTAAGTATTTAGATGTACATTCGCGATTCCCACGCTATGGCTATGGGTCAAGTGCTGGCGTTTAGAATAGTTAGGTGGCTGTTTCTGACTGGCACAGTCTTGATGAGTTGAAGGCCCTTTTTTCAGTGCTGTAGACCTCTGTGACTGTGATTGTATTTGATAAAGGTTGGAGTTGCATGGGAAGCAGTTCAGAGACTGTTCACTTGAGTCATTCCTGGAATGAAATGCTTATTTTATGAAGAAAACTTGAACAAGTTGGGTCTGTATCCATCAGAGTTTAGAGAAAAATGACAGATGGTCTTATTGAAACATGTAAGATCCTGAGGGGACTTGATGTAGAAATGGGAATGTTGTTTCCTGTCACGGGGAAGAATAGGACCAAGGTGCCAGGTTTAAGAATAAGTGATTTTGCTTTTTGAGATGGTGTTGAATAATTCGTTTTGGAAAAGTGTGTTAGTCTGTAGAATTCGCTTTCCTCAAAAGCAGTGATGTGAGGTACTGGTGTTGGACTGGAGTGGACAAAGTCAGAAGTCACACGACACCAGGTTATAGTCCAACAGGTTTATTTGAAATCACAAACTTTTGGAGCGCTGCTCCTTCATCAGGAGATGTAACAAAGGAGCAGCACTCCAAAAGCTTATGATTTCAAATAAACTTGTTGGACTATAACTTAGTGTTGTGTGACTTCTGACTCAAACACAGTAGAAGCTGGGTCATTGAATTGATTTAAGCTGAGATTTTTGATGGATAAGGGGTCGAGGGTTATTGGGCCAGTCAGGAATGTAGAATTGAGATCACTCCATGATTCGATTGAATCACAAGAGTGTGCTCAACGGACTGAATGGCCTACTCCAGTTCCTAAGTTCTATGTTAATATTTTGGTCATGGCGTCTTCAAGACAAAACAGGGAGTGTAAAATTCAGGAAGAACTATTTCTTTACTTCCATAGATGGAGCGAAGAATGTTGAAGCAAATGAGCAATCAGAAGCTAAACAAACATCACAGAGCGAGACATCTGACAGAGTCCAGGAGCTTGAAGAGAAAGTGCAATTACTACAGGTTAGTGAACCTTTTCTGGAAGTGGAATGAATGAGGAGAAAGACATTGAATTAAATCACATTCACTGATTTGTGAAGTCTGCAATATAAACATGTTGTCCTCACACATTGATAAGTAGGAAGTTCAGGATTGCCATAACTGAGGTTTGGTCATTTCTTGTGGTTTTATAGAGTCATCGAGATATACAGCACGGAAACAGACCCTTCAGTCCAACTCGTCCATGTTGGCCAGATATCCTAAATAAATTTAGTCCCGTTTGCCAATATTTGGCCCATATCCCTCTAAACCCTTCCTATTCATATACCCATCCAGATGCCTTTTCAATGTTGTTATTGTACCATGCTGTACCGCTTTCTCTGGCAGCTGATTGCATACATGCACCACTCTCTGTGTGGAAAAAGTTGCCCTTAGCTCCTTTTTAAATATTTCCCCTCTCACCTTAAACCTATGCCCTCTAGTTTTGGACTCCCCCACTCTGGGGGGGGAAGTCCTTGCCTATTCACCCTATCCATGCCCCTCATGATTTTATAAGCTTCTATAATTTCATCCCTCAGTCTCCAGTGTTCCAGGGAAAATAGCCCCAGCCTCTCCCTATATCTCAAACCCTTCAACCCTGTATATCTTTTCTGAACCCTTTCAAGTTTCACAACATACTTCTTGTGGCAGAGAGACCAGAATTACATGCAGTTATTCCAACAGTGGCCTAACCAGTGTCCTGTACAGCCGTGACATGACCTCCCAACTCCTGTACTCAATGTCTGACCAATAAAGGCAAGCATACCAAACGCTGCCTTCATTATCCTGTCTACGAGCGACTCCACTTTCAAGGAACTATGTTATGAACTTGCACTTGTTGAAGCTCTGTGTATGACATGCAGATGGCTCATTACAAATGGAATGCACAGCAAAACCAAGGAGGTCTCTGGTATAATCCACACTATAGCTACCTGTCCCTCCTCTGTCTTTGCGAGAATGGTATAGACAATGACCACCACTGAGTTTTGGTGTGCCAGGTCTCATGGAATCAGCACCAACAATTCACTGCTGTTTGTTGATATCACATGGAGTGAATTGAATGGGCTGACAATTGGCATCTGTGATGCTGGGGACTGCTGGAGAAGGACATGATGGATTGTTCACTCTGTACTTCTGACAGAAGATTGTGACAAATGTGTAGCAATACCACGTTCTGGGATGGTAAGAACTGCCGATGCTGGAGTCCGAGATAACAGTGTGGAGCTGGAGGAACACAGACCAGGCAACATCAGAGGAGGAGGAAAGCTGACGTTTTGGGTTGGGACCCTTCAGAAATCTGATGTGCTTTTGCAACTTTAATGAACATGACCATGTTGCTCTCACTATAGTTCAAGAGTATTAATGTTCTACTTGCTTTCCTCTCTTTCTGTGCCTCTTAATGGAATGTCTCAGCTCACTCACTATTGTTCTGTGCACTAAATATGGTAATGGAGATAAAAATTGAGATCTCTGTTGCTGCTTCAAACCCATAACTAAGCAGCTATTTCGGGACTAAGATTAAGCTTTAAGCAGCTTGTAAACTGTCTCTGTGCCACTTCTAATATCCCTGTTAGATGTCAGTCCTGCTTTCGCAGTTGGATTTCAGTGGTTATTGATACTTGTTCCCAGTTGATTCTAAATGCGAGGTAATTAGTGGTGGCTAACAGTACTGTAGTCCAGTGGCACTTAAGACCAATGTTACATCAGGTGTTTTATTACAGGAGTTTATGCATTACTGAATTCATCATAGTCTTAACGCAGAGTCACATGGCTCACTTCAGGGCTTGAGGAGATAAATCAGGGCTGACGCTGGAGTGCTGTACTGAGGGAGTGCTGCTCTGTGTGTGCCGTCTTTTAGTTCAGACTTTAAGCTGAGGTTCCATGTGCTTGGTTTGGCAGATGTGAAAGATTTCATGGCCCTGATTTGAAGAAAGTGAATTATCCCTAACATCCTGGAAGTATTTAGCCCTCGGTCAACATCACATGAACAGATTATCCGGTTGTTATCAGATTGTTGTTTGTGGGAGTTTGCTTTGCACAATTTATCTGCTTTGTTTCTGCGTTCTAACAGTGACTGTAAAGTGCTTTTGAGAAATCTGGTCATTCTGAAAAGTGCTTAATAAATACAAATCTTCACTTTTTTAGTACTTTTTTGCTGTGTAGTTTATCTAATCTGCCGAATTCCCTTAAGATTAGATTTGACCAGAAGCTGTTGTGACAAAAAGTCATTGAACTCAAATGTTAAATTCGTTTCCCTGCCCTTAGTTGCAGCCAGATTACTGAGTATTTCCAGAATTTGACAGTTTGATGATGTGATTTGTTTTAAACTGCTCCAAATCTTTTTGTTTGGCCTCCCTGGCATTTCCTTGCTCCTACCAAACTCTTTGTTCTTACTGCCCATCACCCTGTACCTGAATGCTTCCATTGGCACTCATTACCAACTGCACCAAATTCTGCATCATTATTCATGTTTAGAAATCATCACAGCCAACAGTGCAGCTGCTCCTGGTGTCTGTCCTCACTCTTGTACTTCCTTTAAGTTTTTTTTTGGCTTCCTAAACAATATCTTGATTTTAACTCCTCAATTTCAAGATTCCAACCCTTTGTTTTACAATCCTTTCATGGCCTCGTACCTCTCTATCATGATTATCTCCTCTGGTCCCACAGCCTTGAGGCATCTGTACACCTATGTTTCTGGCCTGTTGAGTATTCCTGAATTTAACTGCTCCATCATTGGAATCTTTGTCTTTCGCTTCCAAAGCCCTAACTGTCAAATTTCTTCCCTAAAGCTCTTCAGTTTTCTATCCCCCTTTTCCTTTAGATTTCTTAAAAACAATCTCTGATCAAACCTTTGGCTTTCTCCCTAATATTATCATGTGTAGCTCAGTGTCAAAAGTTTTATAATGCTTCTGAAAAATGCCTTGGGATGTTTTATTATGTTGAGGTACTATATAAATACATAAAGTGTTGGTCATTCCCTCTCTCTACAGTTTAAAGCAGAGGTTTTGGATATCTTTACCCAATCGTTGGGACTTCTTAAAAGTCTTCAGCTGCTTACTTCATTCCATGCATTTCTTGAAAGTCTTCTGAAACCTAATAATCACTGTCACCTCTTCTAACTGCGCCACTATTCTCCTAAATGATTCAACTTGGGATATTTCCTGTGTTAAAGGGTGTATTATATTGGGGGAAGACAAAATTTCTGCAATATTTCCAAATCAGTCAAGTGTCATTCCTGGCCAGTCAAGTGTAGCTTTTTGTTTGGGGTTTATTTCCAAATATACAAATGAGAATGTAAGAGTAAAGAGTAAGGAGTACATAAGAGTAAAGTGTCTCCCTGGGTTTAAAGCTCTGGTACTGTTTGAACAGTGGATGTTACGGGACTATAGAGGAAGAGGAAGATAATGGGATAATTGATGAATTTCCTCCAGTATGGTGTAAGTTTCAATGTTTCTGGCCTTTAAGTTAGTTTTTCTGAGCCTCCCTTGTTCTGAGCTCTATGGTTAGGCCTGAACATCATCTCCTGCGTGTAATCTAGTTGCTGTAAATTGCTTCAGTACCTCACCTTATTTCCGATCTGCAATCCCAATTACTCCATTTCTGTGCCCTTTCTCACCTTCCTTCATTGTACAGGCCTGTGCATTCTTTTACCAGAAGCTGTTTTGTTGATGATCCTATGCTATAGTTGTCAGCTTCAAGTCCTTTGTCTACGTTAGTCCCATTACAATTAAAAGTTTAATCATTTCCAATTTCTTCAACAGGACAATAAAAACCTTTCAGTCTTGTATTGTGTAAATGGAGACAGTATATTATACTCTACCTGATCAAAGCCAAAGTTGAACAAAAGTCATGTTTTATCATCTCTTATATCCTGTGGAATCACCTTTCACCAGAATTACGTCTTGTATGTACCACAACTCTCCCACTTCGTTCTTCCATGTATTCCTACCCTTGTGTGAAGTTTTTAAATCCAAACTGTTAACATCTTCTTTATAGGTTTGTGTCCATTGCACCATTTGAAGTGGTGACAAGTCATTTACCGAATTAGGATCCTTTTGCCTGCGCGTCATTGATTCTTGAAACTTTCCTGTTCTATCTTTTCTCCAGTACAGGTGCAATGCTTTGCAAAATCTAACTAACAGTTCTCCTTTCACTTTTCCACTTAATCCTTCTTTATCTATTCATTTTCCAAGTCTGGTGAAGAATCTTTTTAAGGTAGACATCCCAGATTAGTAATTTTTTAAAAAATATTCCTTCATGGGAATGGATATCACTGGCTAAGTGAACATTTATTATCTATCATCAGTTGCCCAGAGGACAGTTAAGTGTCAACTACATTTCTGTGGATTTTGAGTCATGTATAGGCCAGACAATTAAAGATGGCACTTTCTTTCCCTAAAGGACATCAGTGAGTCAGATAGGTTTTTCCAACTTGCATTGAAACAATCTGAGAAAAAAATCAAACAGTGCCCTTACACAGACGTTTCGTTATCATACTGGGTAACATCATCAGTGCAGCCTCCGATGAAGTGTCGGTGTGTTTTCCTGCCTGGTTTTTAAACTCTGGGTCAGAAGATGCCTACACGAACAACACCAGGAAGATAATACACGCCCCGACACACTCATCACACTACCCTTCATCAGGAACACATCGGAACTAACCACAAGACTCCTAGGACCGCTGGGCATCAGAGTGGCACACAAGCCCACATCAACGCTACGACAACTGCTCACCCGAACTAAAGACCCACTCCCCACCATGGACAGGACCAATGTCATCTATAAGATCCCCTGCAGAGACTGTGAGAAACACTACGTCGGACAAACAGGAAGGAAACTAACAACAAGGGTACATGAACACCAACTGGCTACAAAAAGACATGACCAATACTCATCTCAATCCACATGGATGAGGAGAACCACCAATTCGACTGGGACAACACCAAAATCCTGGGACAAGCTAAGCAGAGACAGGCACGGGAATTCCTTGAAGCCTGGCATTCCACGAAGAAAGCCATCAATAAACACATAGAACTCGACCCCATATACACTCCACTACGAAGGAAAACCGGAAATGAGGCAATCCATCTCAACGGACTCCAGAGTTTAAAAACCAGGTGGGAAAACACACCGACGCTTCATCGGAGGCTGCACTGATGATGTTACGCAGCATGGTAACGAAACGTCTGCAGAACAATAAACCAGCTCGGCGAGCCAACCAACCTCAACATCGACAACCTGAGCTACAAATCTACTCCAAAACCTTAGTGCCCTTACAACATGTAGGCTTTTTCTGGGCAGTCTCTAATGATAATGGGTCTTTCCAGTTTCACTATTAAGGAAAACATCAGTCAGTCTGACTCTGTGTGTGATTACAAAAGTTAAAGTTGCTACAAAACTAGTTGCTGCTGTCCTTACATTTGACACAATAAATCTTATAGCTGCCCAGATCTCTTGCCATTTTTCCATTATAAAAGCAAACATCCACACTTAGAGTCATGGAGTCATAGAGGTGTACAGCATGGAAACAGACCCTTCACTCCAACTTGTCCATCCTAAATAAATTTAGTCCCATTTGCCAGCATTTGGCGCATATCCCTCTAAACCCTTCCTATTCATATACACATCCAGATACAATTGCAACATTTAAAGGGTATCAGCCACCACCAATTCCTCTGGCAGCTCATTCTGTACACACACCACCCTCTGTGCGAAAAAGTTGTCCCTTAGGTCCCTTTTAAATCTTTCTTCTCGCACCATAAACATATGCCCCCTAGTTTTGGACTCAGCAATCCTGGGGAAAAGACCTTGGCTATTCACCCTATCCATGCCCCTCATGATTTTATAAACTTCTGTGAGGTCAACCCTCAGCCTCCGCTCTAGGGAAAACAGCGCCAGCCTATTTACCCTTTCCTTACAGCTCAAACCCGCCAACCCTGGCAACATCCTTGTAAATCTTCTCTGAACCCCCCTCAAGTTTCACAACATCCTTCCTATAACAGGGAGACCATGATTAAATGCATTATTCCAAAAGTGGCCTAACCAATGTCCTGCACAGCTGCAACAGGACCTCCCAATGCCTATACTCAATGCACTGACCAATAAAGGCAAACATACCAAATGCCTTCTTCACTATCCTATCTACCTGTGACTCTACTTTCAAGGAACTGTGAACCTGCACTCCAAGATCTCTTTGTTCAGCAGCATTCCCCAGGACCTTGCCATTAAGTGTATAAGTTCTGCCCTGATTTGCCTTTCCAAAATGCAGCAGCTCACGTTGATCTAAGTTAAACTCAATCTGCCACTCCTCGGCCCACCGGCCCAGCTGATCAAGGCCCCATTGAACTCTGTGGCTCCTGTAAAACTGGTGTGCTCTTCCCTGGGAGGTAGTGCTGCAGCAACTCGGTTTCATTGCTCCAAGTGAAACTCTGAAACTCCAACCACCCCTGTTTTATTTTAGTGTTGCTACTTAGTCATTAATAATAACGGAACGGAGTATGGATTGCACTACCTTTGAATCCCCTTGACTAACTATTCTCTGTCCTCTAACCCTCGTCTCTCGAAGACTGCACTTGAGCTTGACTTGTGGTATGGTCCGCTTCAAGAAAGCGGTTATATTAGTCAAAATTTAACATAATTGTGAGTTTCCTGTTATTGCTATTTCTGATCAGACTTGTGTCAATATTTAGGAATTCAGCTGCCACTGAGGCTTTCAGAATAGAAACCCTGTATGTAACCATTTGCTTGTAACGGTGCAACTTCAGGCTCTGACTAGTAGATTGTGCTATGATGCAAGTTTTTGACGTTACTCCTAACATGTCCCATTTGACATGAAACAGAACTAGTATTTGTGAATTGAATCTGAGCAAAAATTTATTTCCCCAAACTTAAATCGTATTCTAGAAATTCTTATTATCTTAGAGATGGGCTGTCACATTCAGTAATTTGTGTTTATTACTCTTCTTAAACGCCCCAACCACACTCAGACTGCTGTTGAGGAACAGGAAGTGGCATCGCAGAACAGATTGGCAGAACTGGAAGAGGAGAAGGGAAGTCTGATGTGGAAGACAATGGATTATGAAGAAGTCAAGACTGAAAACGGTAAATGGTTTTGTTATGAAAAGGGACTCTATATCATTTCATTCTTAAAACAGATGGATGACCATTATAATCTGTATTTTGCTGATGTTTGTCAGGGGAGTTATGTTGGAATGACACCAGTTGGTAGTGATTTGCTGCTCCTATCGCTCAAACTGGCTATAATCTTTCAGTAGCCCTTGGGTACAAGGGTGATAGGATAATTTTGAAAATGGTAATTCCACTTAAAAATAGTCAGTCACTTGAGACAAATGAGGTTAAATTAAAATAAAGCCAGCAAAACCTTGCTAAAGGCAGATTGTGTTCAAATAATTTATCATTAGAATCATAGAATCCCTACAGTGCAGATAGAGGCCATTCAGCCCATCAACTCTGCACCAACCTTCCACAGAGCATCCCACCCAGACTGCCCCCCCCCTTCCTTGTAACCCTGTATTGAAGGAGGCCATTCAGCCTATCATGTCTGCTATGTCTTACATAGGCAACCAGTCTAATATAATTTTCTGGTTCTTGGCCAGTAGTCTTGTTGGATGCAGCACTTCAAGTACACAAGTTCCCAGGGCCGGATGGGATCTATCCCAGGATACTGAAGGAGGCAAGGGAAGAGATTGCTGGAACTTTAGCAGAGATCTTTGTATCCTCATTAGCCACAAGCAAGGTCCCAGAAAATTAGAGAATAACCAATAGTGTTCCTTTGTTCAAGAAGGGCAACAGGGATAATTCAGGAAATCATAGGGCGGTGAACCTTACATCAGTGGCAGGGGAATTATTGGAGAAGATCCTTAGGGACAGGATTTACTTGCATTTGGAGAAGAATGACCTTATTAGGGTTAGTCAGCATGGCTTATGCAGAGAAGGTCCTGTCTCATAAACTTGAGTTTTTTGAGGAATTGATGAAGTTGATTGATGAGGCTAAGGCGCTGTATGTTATTTTTACTTAAGCATTTGACAAGGTCCCTCATAGTAGGCTGGTCCAGAAGATCAAATCGCATGGAAACCAGCGTGAGTTGTCAAGTTAGAAACAAAATTGGCTAAGCCATGGAAGACGGATGGTAGTTGTGGAGGTGTGTTTTTTTCTGACTGGAGGTCCAGGACCAGTGGTGTTCTGCAAGGATCAGTGCTGGGACCTCTGTTTTTTGTAATACATATAAATGATTTGGGTGTAGATGTCAGTGGTCTAATTAGAATATTTGAAGATGACACAAAAGTTGGTGGAGTTGTGGATAGTGAGGAAAGATATCAAAGGATGCAGCAAAATGTAGATTAGCTAGAAAGTCAAGTGGAGAAATGGCAGATGAAGTTTAATCTGGACAAGTGTGAGGTGATGCATTTTGGGAGGTCAAATGCAAGAGGAAAGTGTACTGCAAATGGCCAGACCCTTAGGAGCATTGATATACAGAGGGATCTTGGTCTCTAGGTCCACCAAAAAGACTCTAACTATCTACCCTATTCATAACTATCTACCCATATTCATTCTCATAACCTTATATACTTCTATCAAAATGCCCCTCAACCTCTGATGCTCTCATGAAAACAATCCAAGTTTGTCTAACCTCCCCTTATAGCCAACACCCTCCAATCCAGACAACATCCTGGTGAATCTCGTCGGCACCCTCTCCAAATCCTCCGCATCATTCCTATAGTACGGTAACCAAAATAGTGTGGAGTAATACAAATGTGGCTTGACCAAATATGACTTGCCAACATTTATATTCAGTGCCCCGACCGATGAAGGCAAACTTGCTGCATGCCTTCTTTACCACCTTATCCTCTAGTGTTGCCACTTTCAGGTAGCTATGGACTTGATTGAGTCTTTTGATCAAGTATCAGAAAGGGTTGCTGAGAATAATCCAGTTAATGTGTGTACATGGATATCAGAAAGTGCCACCTAGTAGGCTTGCTAAAGTGGTTGAAGCCCACAGATTAGGAGAGACAGCAACAGCAACAGCATGAATATAAACTTGACTGAGTGACGGGAAAATAGAGTAGATGTGAATGGTTGTTTTTGGTACTGGGGGAAGATACGCAGCAGCATACTCCAGGGTCATAACTAGGACCTCTGCTTCTTTTGATTCTTTAATGACTTGAGGGTGCATTTTCAAATTTTGAATATATACCAAAACTTGCAACTATTGTGAACAGAGAAGTGTAGGCTCCGAAAAAACAAGCCAGCGAAATCACCGGACATTTGACAGGTGGCATTTAAGCTACAGAAGTACAACGTTTTAGTAGGAAGGAATGAGGAGAGGAATTTTTTTTTTTTTAAAAATGCAGTTTCTAAAAGGTGGTGCAGGAACAGAGAACCCTGGAGAGTATGTTTGCCCAAATCATTGAAGGTGATAGGGCAGGTTGAGGAACTGGTTAAAAAAGGCATGTGGATCATGGGCTTTATAAATATTTTCCAACAAACCTGTTCAGAGATATTATTACACACTTCCAGAACAGGTGGGCTTTAACCTAGGCCTTCTGGCTCAGAGGTAGAAACAGAGACATAAACAGAGTATAAAGTAAGAAGGTAAAGCTGATACAGCTTGAAACATTGGATTAACCTCATCTGCCATATTGTATCCAGTTCACAGCAAAGACTTTTAGAAAGGCTGCAAAGGCTTTTGGGGAAAAAAAAATTATAACAGTGCCAAGAATGAAAAAATCAGTTACTTGGATAGGTTGCAGAGCTGGCATTTTTCTCTTTCAAGGAGGTTGTTAGGAGATTTGACAGAGATAGTCAAAACCACGTGGGGTCTATATAGAGAAAAAAACTTCCCTTTGGTGAAATGGTAGGAAACCAGAAGTTGCAAGTCTAAGGTGATTGGCAATAAAATCCAAGGCAGCATGAGGGGAAAATATTTTCATGCAGTGAGTGGTCATGGTCTGAAATGCACAACCCAGAAGGGTGATTGAATTGTCACTTTTGAAAGGGAATTGAATAAATACTTGAAAAGAAAATATTTGCAGTGTTACAGGAAATGGTAGGGCTAGGCAGTTTGTTCTTGCAGATAGCTAGTACAGGTATGTTGGACGAAATGGCTTTCTATGCTGCAACAGCTCTGATTCTGTAATTCTTCAGTGCCATCCCTGTTGGAGTGTGTAGAACTGTTACGGGGAGGGTGGTGTCTGGTCTCTGTTTGGCTGTAGGGAGCAGAAGATTTATCATTTGTCTGTGCAGGATTATAAATCTACTCGGAGCCTGGACTTGCTGAAATACTGTTGTGTTCTTTGTCACTGTGTGATGACGAGATGTGGGACTGAATAATGTCATCTAAAGCAGAAGCCAAAACTGAAGTTCTTCTCATTCATGTTTCAACAGAACATCTGCGAGCTAGGATTAAAGAACTAGAACAAAGTTGGGGAACTGAGGCATTGGCTCAGAGTGCTCCAGGGAACATTCAGGTATGGACATGCTACTAACTATTTATCTGTTGGATTGTCTGGGAGCATTATCTGGGCCTGACCTTGCCCTGGGCAATCTGATGGCACTGTTGTGGGAACTTATACGCTTTCAGGAGTTGGCACAGGTACCTCAAGGTTCTTTCAGATGTTAATAAATCTGTAAACAAAGCTTACTTTATTTAGCAATGGTACAAGTGACTAGATAGTTTGTGTTTAGCCAGTGTTAGTTCAGGTGTGACTGCTAACAAAGCTAACCTGTGAGAATCGCCCTGCTTCCTTTGAATAGTGCATGACATCTTTTGTAACCGCCTGAAAGGGAAGGCAGCTTCTGAACTTTGATGCTTTCTTGAACAGTGTGTACTCCATAATACAGTACTAAATTATCAGTTTAGGTTATAAACTCAAATATCTGGAGTGAGGCCTGAAACTGATATTGTCACAAATCACTGGGACAGTGCTTTGGTAATCAAGCTCCTCTGTTCCTAGAGTTTGACAAATGTGAACATACATAGTCAAACTGCCCAAAGCCCTAAATTACTTCACTGGCAAATACAAATTAAAAGAAAACACTCACCAGGTTTCTGTACTTAATAAACAAACAGCAATTTTCTTGTTATGAACCAATTGTCTTGAACCAGTGGCAATTAGGAAATATGAATTGCTAATTTGTAACTCTACGATTTAAACACTGTCCCTTCTTAAAATCCTCACTTCACAAACAGATGCAAATTAAGAGTGGAAGAAGAAAAAGAAACAAAACCACAGTTCAATAGCACAAGTCTTGACCACTGGATTCAGTTAATTGCTTACTTTCTGTTCCTTCCGACTCCTTTTTAATTCTTTGCTGTTGACACCAGATTGTTTTTGCACCGACGTTCTCTTTCATTCGTTGGATGGGAGTTCATCCTTTCACTGTCTTTTGAAGTATTTTATTCCTCCTTCAATGGGGGATTTGCAGAGAAGGATGATTGGGGGGCAGCTAGCTGTTACTGGAAATAACACAGTATGGAGCTGGAGGAATACAGCAGGCCAAACAGCATCAGAGGAGCAGCAAGTTGACATTTCAGGTCGGTACCCTTCAGAAATTCCGAATAAGGGTCCCCACCCGAAACGTCAACTTTCCTGCCCCTCTGGTGCTGCCTGGCCTGCTGTGTTCCTCCAGCTCCACACTGTGTTGTCTCTGACTCCAGCATCTGCAGTTCTTGCTATCTCTGATACTGGAGACTTACTTTTGGTACTTTCATGCAGGAGAGAGACACATATGTATATGGATTTTTTGATGCTTTAATTTTGCAAGCTAGCTTCATGCAGTTCAGAGCCTATTAGCTCTTTGGTGTCTGCCTTTTTCTTTCACAGTTCCATGGGAAAACAACGTTGTATACAACACACAATTGCTCCAGTAAACATAATTTTTAAAATGGCAAACATCTGCTTACACAGTCTCCTTACTTTAAAGTAATAGTCTCCATTTTTACACCACAGTCCAAAAACAAAGTAAATAAAACAGTGTGGTCTTTAATGGGAATTATTTTTTACTTAAGAAATATCATTGTATTGGAACACTAAGTTAGGTGAATTAAAGGACTAGAAAAAAGGATACTTGTTGGGGGACTAGACAAATGCGATTTTGTAAGACAATAAATGTACCAGATGGATAGACCTCAGTGGGAAATTTGCAGTATGTAACAGATGAACTTTGATGGACTGGCCAGCCTTTTTGTATCTTTTTGTCTTTTTTTTTTACTTCAAGTTTAATCTTTCCTTCACCCTGTTGGTGTGGGCTAGATCTGAGCCACATAGAAGTGAGTGGTGGAGTTGTTTTCCCAGACCTCAACACCAGTGCTTGGACACTGATTTGTCTGTTTTAGCAACGAAACAAATGCAACTCACTTGAGCCGCATCGCCTTCTCAGAATATCCCAAGACTTCATACAATGAAATATATTTTGGAGAAGTTACTATTAGGTAATTGATCATTGAATAAAAAGGAATAGTATAACATTGAAACTCTTGTTTCCAATAGTCGTTTAGGATAAAGAAACTGTATAGCAGGTGAGTCACTTCAAATCTGTATAGCAGTTAATAGGCTTTCAGTCAGAGATGGCTTAAAATATACAGCTTGGCCCAATATTAAAGCTGGTTGAATCTGTCTCAGCTCATTAACACAGGGTTTTTGGAGGTTGTTTTATTGCTTCATGAGCTAGAGTAATTTTATAACCTGTACATGTAGTGAAGCAGTGATAGGCGTTCACATCACAGACACTGACAACACTACCTAAACTTGACCAAAGGCTCTATTTGTGATCAAACTACTCATTGTAGTTCTGAGCTATAGAGAGGAGGAGATTCTAGATTCAATTCCTGATTGGTGGTGTGAGATGATCTTATCAGGGAACTGCAAATGGATATGTACTAATGAGTACTCATGACTTTTTTTCATCTAACCCTATCAACATGACATTATAATCCTTTTTTTTGTATTTATTTATTCAGCTTGCCTTAAAAACATAATGATAGTTGTCTCAACTATTCCTCCTAGTAGCAAGTACCACATTTTTACCACTTCCTGGATTAATATTTGGATTTATTGATGACTTTCTTAAGTTTATGATTCCTAGTTTTGCTCTCCCTAACAGGTGGAAACATTGTCCTTACATCTATAGTATTAACATCTTCTGAATCTTCAAGGTCTTTGTGAGTGACACCTCAGCTTTCTGTTTTCCAAGACTTCTGTCTTTGATAGTTATAACCTCTTGATTCTGTGTATTCCTAACTTATTTCAGTTTGTTTGTGCCAGTTAGGGTGTTTAGTACCAGTTACAAGACTAGATTTAGACTCTTCAATATGGGAAGAATCAGTAACTTGGATTACTGATGCGCTTTGGGGGTCATGATGTCCCAACATAAGCGTGCATAGGAAATTTAAACTACCAGTTGCCAGTTCTGCCTGGCCCTGAATGTTTGATGATTGGGTAGAACCATGCAGATGTGGGCTGTTTACGTTTACTTTGCCCTGCTCTTTGCATAGATACATGTAGAGTTTTTAATAGCTGGTGTAAAGCCTACAGCACATTGTTGCTCTTAAGTACATCAGCTAGTTTGTCACAGCACTCCAGCAGCTGGAGCAACCCTCAGCCCTCTCACGCCAATGTTCCCCATTACTTCCACTCCTTGGACCCTATTCAAGCCTCATCCATACCTCCTGAAAACATGGTCAGTGTTCACCTTCACGCCCTTTACCCCATCCCTGCTGAACCTTGGAGAGTGCTCAACCCCTTCTCTGTTTGCTGTTCTGACTCCCCTTTGGAATCGCTGGCTGCTGATCAGCTAACGTACGAAGGGTCAGCCCTGCAAGGCTGGGGGTGTTTCACTGTGTGAGAGAGAGAAAGGTGGAGGAAACTATTGGGTGGGGGTGGGGGGTTGGGTGTTGGGTGGGTGTAGGAAATGATCACTTTTGGGGGAGGAGTATTTGCTGTTGGGAGGTGTGAGATCAGAGTGATCTCTGTTGCTGGGGTGGGTGTTCACACTGCAAAAAGAAATGCCAGCCATAGCCATAATGAATAATTCTAGATGAACAGTCTTAGGACATTTAACAGAATGCAGCTTTTACTGCCATAAAAACAGGGGCGTGGTTTGACTTACCACAACTATCTTGCATTATAATGGATTAGGTGGATTTCAGGTCCACTTAGCATTTCTGAAGGAGCCTGAATTGGACGTCCCAATAAGAATTGCAGAACATGTCCTTGGATGGAAAAACTAAGAGCAGAGTGGCAATCCGACAGTGGTTACACTCTCCAGAAGATTTGAACTAAACTGTGAATAGCACAAGTGAAGCTAAGGATTGAGGACTCGGGGAATTTTTATAAAATCTTGGAATTTAGTTTTAATTCACTGCTGTATCTTCAATAAAGCACTCACAGCAAATATGACTTTTGCTTCTCTATTTAGCATGCGGACCCTGGCAGCAATATTTTGGACACTGTAGTACTGGAGCAAGCGACACAGTCTGGAGACAGTTCACTTGGCAATACAGGTAATGATGAAGGTTGAACAAAATTGGAGAAGCTGTTGGCTGGGGGGACTTGAAGAAAGATGGTACCTATGGTTGGGAGATATTAAAGCAGAATTTCCTACAGCTGATTACCCAACAATTAATCTGGAGCCTGAAACTTATACGTGTCCTGACTATCCTTTTGGTTGTCCTTGAACCAGGAAACACTGCAACAGAAACAGAATATGCAACACCTTAACCCAGTGCTGTTAGGGGAGCAGCTGAGCACCAGAACCATGCCACATACCCCAGACTACAGGTTAGCAATGTGATGGGAGATCCTCTAGGATTGCTGTGGAATCAGTTGTACTTTATTTCATTAATGGTGAACTCAGCTGGTCACCCAGAATAGAGATTCTATTTTACAGGTTCTGGGAAAGGCTCATTATTTAAAATGATCTAATTCTGGACTTCCTCCAGTCACTGCTAGATTACAGATTGATACAACTCAGATTAACCAACCTATCATGTTCCCTGTGAGAAAGCCATCTAATCAGTTCCTCTACTTTCTCATTCCTAATTGCCCTGCACATTTTCCTTTTTCAAGTATTTATCGAATTCCCTTGTAAAACTTGCTACAGAATCTGTTTTCACCACTCTTTCAAATGGTGCATGACAGATCATGACTCATCGTGTGGGGGGAGAAATGTTCACTTATTTCTTCTCTGGATTGTGACAATTGTCTTAAATCTGTGTCCTCTGATCCCTTTGCCAATGGGAACAGTTTTGATGCCTTCTGATTTTGAACACCCCTATCAAATAGCCCCTTTCTGAAAAGATCCATTTTGTCTTCTCTGGTGTCTCTAGCCAATTGTATGAAAACATGTCAAGAGAGACAACAAAGATGTAAATGTGGGAAATGGGAAGCAGACCTGTTGATGCTGTATGACAAGGTGTAGAGCTGGATGAACACAGCAGGCCAAGCAGC